TGCAAACCACCATCTTCAAGCCTTAGTCCATGATACAATATGGAAAAATACTAAATCAAATATCTTCATTATGTGGATTTATTATAAGAATCTGGCCTTCATCATTTCACAAAATCAGAGGATTCTCATTTAAGTCTAAAGAGAAATTGGTGCCAAGAAGACTTTTATTTGATTTAGTTTATTTTTCTCTTTTTGTTTAAATGTAAATAATTTCATTCAAGTAAATTTATTTGTAAAGATCCTTTGTAAGAGCAAAAAAAGCTCATTGTTCTCATTGTAAAAAATATATAGAAATTTTTGGAAATTAAAAGAGATTTTTCTCTAAAGCTTTGGCTTTGTTTTTGTTTATCTAAGCAAGATGGAATTCTTCACTTAGTAAACATTTGAATCTATGTATCTTGTGTGCGATGCCTTGAGACTAGGTTTGTGAACTCATCACATGGGCTTTCACACCCTTGAGTGGCGTTCTTCGATCCACCCTTCTATTCCATTTCATCCACCGATCAAGCCTGAAAGAGACTTCAGTCCAGCAGATTGATCCCATCACCATCCACTTCGATCATCTCTTGAGCAAGTAGAAAGAGACTTCAGTCCAGCTGCTTGCTTCCACCCATCACCCAACCATTTATAAGATCATCCCATTGATCTTATATCATTTGGTATCAGAGCTAAAAGCTCCTATCCTCTATCTTTTTATTTTTTGTTTTGTTTTTGTTTCATGTTTTATCAAGATTCCCATTAAAAAGAACAAAAAAAAAGTTTTGGTTGTTTTTATTCTTTAATTTTTATAAACTTAAAAAAAAAACTCAAAAAATGGTTTTATGTTTTTGTTCTTTGATTCATGATTTTTTTTTATTTAAAAAAACCCAAAAAAATCAGTATTTTTCCCATAAAATTAAATTTTATTTCTTTCAAAAACAAAAAAAAAACTCTATTTCTATTTATATTTTTGTTTATTCCGATTTCTTTGTTTAAAAAAAACTATAAAATGAAAAAAAAAGTTTTATTTATTTTATAAGTAATATTTGCTAAAAAGTTTTTCAAAAAAAAAAAAATCAGTTTTGAGGACAAAACCACTTGAAGAGGGAGAGAATGATACAATATGGAAAAATACTAAATCAAATATCTTCATTATGTGGATTTATTATAAGAATTTGGCCTTCATCATTTCACAAAATCAGAAGATTCTCATTTAAGTCTAAAGAGAAATTGGTGCCAAGAAGACTTTTATTTGATTTAGCTTATTTTTCTCCTTTTGTTTAAATGTAAATAATTTCATTTAACTGTATTTATTTGTAAAGATCCTTTGTAAGAGCTATAAAAGCTCATTGTTCTCATTGTAAAAATATATAGAAATTTTTGGAAATTAAAAGAGATTTTTCTCTAAAGTTTTGGCTTTGTTTTTGTTTATCTAAGCAAGATGGAATTCTTCACTTAGTAAATATTTGAATCTATGTCTCTTGTGTGCGATGCCTTGAGACTAGGTTTGTGAACTCATCACAGGGGCTTCCACACCCTTGAGTGGCGTTCTTCGATCCACCCTTCTATTCCATTTCATCCACCGATCAAGCCTGAAAGAGACTTCAGTCCAGCAGATTGATCCCATCACCATCCACTTCGATCATCTCTTGAGCAAGTAGAAAGAGACTTCAGTCCAGCTGCTTGCTTCCACCCATCACCCAACCATTTATAAGATCATCCCATTGATCTTATATCAGTCCAAGTCATCATATCCATGTACCATGGCTTGCATCGGGCACACTCCACAGAGGTAACACCACAAATATGCATATGTATGCAATCCTAAACTAAATGCATGCAATGTTATTTTTAGATGCAAACGAGACTAAAATGTTAAACCAATATGCAAAGACAAGGGGAAAATAAATGAAATGCAGCCTAAATCACTAGAATATAGCAAGCTATCAATATTTCTATAGATTCTGTGCTTGGATTACCAATGACTAGAAAAAGGAGAGATTATATCTTTGTTGTGGTAGATAGATTTTCTAAAATGGCGCATTTTATCCAATGTTATAAAACTGATGATGCATCACTTGTTGCTGAGTTGTTCTTTAGAGAAGTTGTTTGTTTACATGGAATGCCTAGGAAAATTGTATATGATAGAGATACTAAGTTCGTAATCTACTTTTGGAAGACTTTGTAGTCTAAATTAGGAACTAAGTTGTTATTTTTAACTACTTGTCATCCTTAAACTGAGGGGCAAACTGAGGTAGTAAATAGGACTTTGTCTACTCTCTTGCGTGCAATCATTAAAAAAAACATTGAAACTTGGGAAGATTGTTTGCCTCATGTCGAGTTTGCATATAATCATTCAGTTCATTCTGCTACCAAGTAGTCACCTTTCCAGGTTGTTTATTGTTTCAATCTTCTAACTCCTTTGGATCTAGTCCATTTGTCTTTGAATGAAAGATTTAGTATGGATGGAAAAAAGAAATCTGATATTGTTTAGAAGATTCATGAGAAAACACGACTCAACATTGAAGCAATGACAAAGAAATATGAAAAGCAAGCAAACAAAGGAAGGAAAAAGATGATCTTTAAAGTTGGAGATCTTGTTTGGGTACACTTGAGGAAAAAATATTTTCCAGCTGAAAGATAGTCTAAACTCATGCCAAAAATCGATGGTCCATTCAAAGTCTTGGACAAAACTAGTGACAATGCTTATCAGATTGACTTGCAAGGTAAGTATAATGTAAGTTCAAGCTTTAACGTTTCTGACTTAGCTCCTTTTGTTGCAGATGAACAAGATTTGAGGAAAAATCTTTTTCAAGAGGAGGGGCATGATGTGATCATGGGAAGCAATCCCATGAAGATCAAGTGGAAGCTGTGCTTGAACCTCATTAAGCTATGTTTATACTATAAGGACCAATGACCCGAGCTAGAGTTAAGCAACCAAGGAATGCACTTTGTGGATTTATTTGTGAAGTTCTGGACAAGAAGAATATGCATAATTTGTTTGGAAATGATAGTCATCAAGTCCACTCCATTATGACTCTAATACAAGCCCAAAAAGTCTAAAATAATCACTTTCTTTTGTGGTCAAAAGGATGTGATGAAAATAGAGTCCAAGAGTCACATAAATTTTATTCTCTCTTTTGTTTCTTTTAGTTTCTTTGACTTATCTTTTTAAGTTTTCTTTTTGTCTTTATAAATTTATGTAATCTCATTCGAGAAAGACAACTTTTTTAATCAAAACTTTTTGAGAGTGATTCTTTTTGTTCCTTATGAACATTTTGATCTGTCTTGGTGTGTCATATCCAGGAGATCAATCGAGTTTATCAAGTGTTCTTCATCACACTTGTATCGTCACTCTACTAACTTAAGTTAGTTGTTTGCAGTATAAGTTAGTATCAGGTGGTGGGTTTAATATACTCTCTGCTAGAGCTACGTACATCACCTTTATAAGATTTCGCTGCCTAGTTTTTTTGGAGTTTTTGCTTCCATTAGATTCAAAGATTATCCATATCAACTTTAAAGTGAAAATCTTAGTAGACCAGACATGGCTTACTGTTGTTAAGAAAGTGTTAAGAAATTATAGTAGTGGATACAGTCTTATGACTGGACCTATGGAACATTTGAAATTCGATAAGGAGGCATGTACTTGAAGAAGCAAAAAAACGCTAATCATGGGGGGATTTTTCCATGATGAGGTAGATTTCTTGATCATAACTTGTGAGATGACATGTGAGCTTAAGATGAAACTAGAAGATGTCATTAAAACAGTAATTGAAGGCATATGAGTCAAAGATAAGTGAAACAAGGTTAGTTGCAAGTGTTAGAGATGCATTCAAAATCATTACAACACAATTTCACTTTCTTCGAGAAAGTAATAATAAACATAAAAATGAAGTTTAACCGAATATAGACTATGAAAAATAATATTGAACTTTAATATTAAATATTAGTATTATTAAGCATTTTTACAATATTTAAAGATACATTTATCTCTTATAAATGATATCAAATATATTATTAAGAAATTAATACATAAACTTCTTTCCTTCTTTTTCATTTTTCTCTACTCTCTTTTTCATTTCTTCACTTATTTCTGTTAGTAGTACTGGTTGAAGAAGAGGGACAATCAGTACAACTATCCCAGATCCTTATCCCATATCTTAATAATTTATTTAAGAGCTCAGTTTTTTAGATATATAAAATTTACATATAAAATTCTATAGAAATAACATTTGTATAACAAAATCTATAAAAAAACATTATATGAGAAGATATTTTTTTAAAAAAATAGAGAAAATATTCCAAATTAACTTAGAATGAGAAAATAATGTGAAACGGGTATTCTATTGAGGGAAAATTGTAAAATGATATCTATTTTACGGTTTTTTAAATATCAGCATTACCTTTCTAACTATTTTTACTTGTAGCCTAATGGCAGACTAGTAGCAGATTGAATGTAGACTATTGATAGACTAATTGGTCTTATAATTGAATATAGATTATTGATAGACTAATTGCAGATGAAATACAAATTACTAGCAGACTAATAGCATACTAGTGGACCCTTTTTATGAATTATTTTAGTAAATGTAATGTTTTTTAATAAAATTATTAAATAGATCATTTTAAAAATTATCCCAAAAAAATAACAAAAACATTGAAAACCAGTTCAATTTTTTTTTTTTTATCGTAGGCCCCGAAAAAGGGTTGAGCCAGACCATGTCTGTTTGATCCAATAAGATCCATTTAGGACCTTATCACATTATTTTAGATTTTTCGAAAATGACCAAAATTAAACAAATTTGGTAATCAAGAGTTCCGGAAATTGAAACTAAACTTGCAACCGTTTTTTCCAGAAAACCCAAGGAAAGAAAAAGGATTGAAATGGGCCGATTTTCCAGAAAACTCAAGGAAAGAAAAAGGACTGAAATGGGCCGATTTTCCAGAAAACCCAAGGAAAGAAAAAGGATTGAAATGGGTCGGTTTTTTTATTGGACACAAACGAATTATAAAGCCCGTGGCTTTGCTCTTTAACTTTATATATCTACACAGTATTTTCCGAATTTAGGGTTTTAGTCTCCAGCCACCCGAAGAAGCCCTGCAATAACGACAATGGCCACTCAGATCAGCAAGAAGAGAAAGGTGAAAATTTCTCATTTCCTCTCTCTATGAGCCAAATGGACCGTGCTGAAATCTTATATGAATGTGTTGTATTTTGTATGTAGTTCGTTGCCGATGGTGTCTTCTACGCGGAGCTTAATGAGGTCTTGACTAGAGAGCTCGCGGAGGATGGTTACTCTGGTGTTGAGGTCCGTGTCACCCCCATGCGTACCGAAATCATCATTAGAGCCACTCGTACTCAAAACGTCCTCGGTATGTTCGTTGATTTTTGAGTCAGTCTTGTGTAATTTCATTGATATGTCGATTTGAATCTCTGTTTACTTGTTTGATTTTAGGTGAGAAGGGGAGGAGAATCAGGGAGCTGACATCTCTTGTTCAGAAGAGATTCAGATTTCCTCAAGACAGCGTTGAGCTTTACGCTGAAAAGGTCGCCAACAGGGGTCTCTGTGCCATTGCTCAGGCTGAGTCTCTCCGCTACAAGCTTCTTGGTGGTCTTGCTGTTCGTAGGTATGTCTTTAGTACATTCGCTTACCTTCTTTTGTATCAATTTGCTTGATTTGATGCATTCTTGTGTGGTTTTTTTCACTGAGGTATTGATTTGCCACCTTGTTGCACATATACGAATTGTTGGTCAGTTGAATTTCTATCGAGATTGGAGATTGCTTTGTAATAGTGTTTAGACTATATGTTAATTTAGTCAAGTTAAGGAGACAAGTATCCTAGAATCAATTTAATGTCTTTTTCTATGTATGGCTTAAATCATGAAACAAATTGATTGCCTGCGTAACAAAGATTGTGCTGCCTGCGTTATAGAGACCTTACATTATGACCGTTTTTATTTACCACCTGTCAGGCTTCTTGCTTTACTGAAATACCTTCATTCCTTCAGCTCAAATATGTTTAAGCATTCTTAATCAGTCAAATGTCTAGATCTATCTATCGAGATTTCTATATGTAGTGGCCTGTTAATCTATGGCTTAAAGCATGAAACAAATTGTTTACCCGCGAATTTCCCTGCTAAATCATGCTTCAGGATTGGGCGAGGTGTTGGCTGCGTCCTAAAGACTTAGTATAGTGAACATTTGTATTTACCAGTTGTCACTTCTTTCACAATAGGCATAGGGTTTGAATGAACTTCTTAGATACTCAAATCCTTGAGCCTGTTTTACTTTAATTTATAAACGCTCTCCTAAATTCGACTCTGATGCTTTTATCTCTTCACCTTAGAATGTTAAATATTGCATGATCTTTTGTTGTACAGAGCCTGCTATGGTGTTTTGAGGTTTGTTATGGAGAATGGAGCTAAAGGATGCGAAGTCAGTACAAATCCACCACTCTTTCTTATGGTTATCTGAATACCTATAATGCATTCTTATAATCTTACCAAATACTTGCTTGCAGGTCATTGTGAGTGGAAAACTCCGTGCAGCACGTGCTAAGTCAATGAAGTTCAAGGATGGTTACATGGTTTCCTCTGGTCAACCAACCAAGGACTACATTGACTCTGCAGTGAGGCATGTTCTTCTTAGACAGGTCAGTTTCCTAAACTTCCATATTTCTGTGTAAACAAGCAACGTACACTACTCTGAATGTGATAACTGCTAAAGCTTGTTGTCTTGTGTCTATTTGTGTAACCCGAGTCTCGTTAACCCGATGCGCAGGGCGTGCTAGGAATCAAGGTGAAGATCATGCTTGACTGGGACCCTACGGGCAAAACAGGACCGAAGACACCATTGCCTGATGTGGTGATCATCCATGCTCCAAAGGAAGATGTTAAGTACACATCTGCTCCGGTTGATGCTGCTCCGGCTGCTCTTGTCCCGGAAGCTCCGTTATTGACCACGGATTACCCAGAAATGCCAGTGGCTTAAGAAGCCTATTTTTGGGGACAGTACCAGTTGACAAGTTTGCTCATGTTTTTCTAGTATTATTATATAAAGTTCTGGGGATTGAATTAACTTTTAAGGATTATAGTTATGTTTTTGCGTATTGGTTTCTCTAAATTTTATTTATCTATCAACGATTTGGTATTTCAAATGAAACTGTGTTTTTCAGTTATTGTGTAATGAACATGTTTATAATTTCTTTCAAAACCTTCTTTCTGTAACGGGTTATAGAAGATTGGTTGCGTCTTTGAATACCCTCTATAGCCCATTTTCGGAGAGGTCATTCATGTTTACATTTTGTGTTCTCAAAGAATCGTTCTGTAATCTTCCAATTGTTGTGGTCGAGTTGAGAGCTAGAGCCGTACTTTTCATTTTTCTCGGCTTAAAGTGTAACATGTTTTGTATACCGCTTCAATGGTTACCAATCAAACTAGCATAGTTTCATAGTTGCAGAAAGACAAAGCCGAAGACGAAATCATTTCAATGAATATGGGTACAATAAAAACAAAAGCAATACAGCCATCTATGGCTTGTAGTACTTCAAATTTCTAATAAGACCCAATATATGTTCCCATGAATAAAAAATAATAATTTTAAGACCAAAGGTGAATAGATAGAAGAAGCATATAAGATAGAAGAAGAATGCAAAAGTTCATTTCTGAAAACATTACATGAATTCACAAATCAACACCACACTACAACGAAGAGATCATATCTCTCTTTTTTTCTCTCTCTCTCTTAGCCTCTCTTAACAGGATCAAAGTTGGAGACACCAACGACAACACCGATAATCACCGTCAGCACCACGCCTCCCGCGGCAATGCTAAGCAAGAAGTTCTTGAGAGAAGGAGAGACTCCTGAGCCAGCAGCTTCAGCCATCTCAGGGATCGCCATCGAGACGGTGAGAGCTGCCGCGGCTAAGCCGCTCACGGCTTTCTCCATCTTCAGGTTAGATGCATTCACTTGAAACCTTCGTGAAGGCAAGGCTAAGGTGGAAGAGGAGGCCTTGGATGGCTTCAAAGGCAATGGCTTGAGGAAGGCAATGGTTTTCACCGACGAGGATGATCGGTTTTGGGTAAGTGGCATGACCAATGACACAGCGGAGGTAGAAGCCATTTCTCTCTTCTCTTCTCTTCTTTTCGATCTTTTTGAGTTTGGTTCACAATGTGAGATTTGTGTTTTGAGAAGAAGTAAAAGGTGGGGCAAAACGTAAGATATGTCATATGAGGAGTGGGAGATATGGGTCTTACGTGGCAGCTTCTGAGCTGGGAAGTGTGATTCGTTAGATAAGGTTATCTTCATTTTAATTTTTCTGGTCATTTCAATACGGTTCTCGGCTTTCTCTTCGATTCTTTCTGGTGAAAATAAATTTAGTAATCAGTTTTTAGCCTACAAACCGAATTATACGGTTCAATTTGATTCAGTTCGGAAATAATGCTCACAATATAATACCTTGTTTCGTTGAATCTATGGAACAAGTTTTGCCATTGAGGCTAAAAAAGCACGATTAATGCAAACTTTGTTCTTTTCTCGGATGTTAAGGATTCACATACCCAATGGGCTTTGTTCCATGTTATCTATCTAGAAAATGCTAAGGATCTTATTTCCGTCTTTTTTGTTTCGTTTGAAAGACAATTGGATTGAAAAAACAAACGAGCATTTCAAACATCTGGTAAGCCACATAAGATGTCAAGCTAGTCATTTACAAAACGGCTCTGTTCACAGATAAATATGTTAAAACATTTTCACATTTTTCTTAATTCCGCCAGAAACTTATCAAGGTCTTCAAGCTTTCCATCTGAATACCACAGAAAAATAAGAAAGATAATAAGCATATGGAACACTAAATATTCAAACCCCTCAATATTACAACAATGTCAAATTTAGTTACCAGAATTCGTCGCTGAAAAATATTTCCCATCGTTCTTTAGCCTCTCTCCTTTAGCTCCATCAACGGCTTTCATTCTTCTTGTTTTCAGCTTATCGATCCCTGCACGAAGTTCTGATGCCACTTTTGCCATCTCTGCAGAAAACCCATATTTGAGATCCAAGTCGTCTCTAGTCATTCTATGAACAATGAAACAAACAAAAGTTTCCCAGAAAACGACAAAAAAAAACACTAGACTACCACTAGCTGATAATATATATATATGCAAACTATAAACTCTGAATGAGATCAAGAAATTCCCATAAAAACCAGTCAGCGGTATATCCAGAAGATGGTAAAGAGATTTCATAACTATATTCTAAGTGAGATCAAGAAAATGTGGATTTGGTCGTGTTAAGGAACTAATATCCAAATCATTTCATTGGAGTAAATCCTAAAGAACTCAAGATATCAAAGGCTAAGATGAAGTTTGCATTTCGATTACCTTTGAACATATCATCCACAGACGATTCATCATAAAGCTGCAAAGCCTCATTAACGAGTCTCGCAGACTGTTCATTTGAAACCGAAGTTCTTTCTAAAGCCTGGAGCTCCGAGTTAAGCTCAACAGACCTCTTTCCTACCTAAGAAACAAAGTTATCTCATTTGAATAAACCAAAACGTAAAAGAAAAAGAATCAAAGTATCACAAGAGAGAACCGTTTTGTCTCACCAAATTAAGCTTATGCCTTAGAGAATCTAATTCTGCATCCAGCTCTAAATCATTTGACCCATCTTGGATATTTTGGTTACTGTAGACAGACGACTCATCCTGATGAACAAAAAGGATTCAGCAATCACTGTATAAGCGTGAAACGAGACGATAAAGGACATACAGACTCACACTCTCTGGTAGCACAAATTCTTCAGGAACTGCAAAAGTGTATCTAACACAATAGACTTCCCAGATTTTCAAGCGTTTGTCCAGAATCGATTGAATCATATTACGAACACGATCAATACCCTAAGATACATAGAGAGAGTAAGAAATGTAACAGATGAAGAAGTATAAATCGAAATCAGGGAGATGGGAAACACCATAAAACTCACGTTTGATAACTCTTGTGACCTCTTATCGGATCCTTCATTGATTCTGAGAAAAGCGGATGCTTCACTGAAAATGTAATTACCAAAACCCTCAAGTTAAAAAAAAGAAGCTTGCATCGACGAATCGAAGTTTTCTACAAACATGCGATTCAGAGAGAAAGAGAGAGAGATTATTACCGGCTATAGAAATCAAAAGCTTCGTCGAAAACGTCGTCGACGGTGTTGATTGTTTCGTTGATGAAAAGCTGAGGATTCAGATTCATGGCATCGAACACTGCCTCGCTTTTGCTGCCTTCCATGATTCTCCCTCCGATCGATTTCTAGAACTCAGAAACCCTAATTCCCAGCAATTGGGGAGAATTTCAGTAATTATAACCGACTAGATGCAAGATCTAAAACTCAGAAACCCTAATTGCTAGCGGTTCGGGAGAATTTCGGGAAGAATTACTAAGACCCGAGTGAAGAAGAAAGTGAACACTTGGATTTGATTGAATTTCAGCAACGTCTTTTTTCAAATGGAATCTTCACATATGAAATTTGAATTTTCTTTTTACTTATCTGAACTAATAAAAGTTAATAAAAAGAATCATACAAAAACTATCGGTTCGTAACTGAACCCAAACGCATAATTGAGTTGTTGTTTTGAATAAAACTAGGGGTTTGAATGGTATGCAGCTTTTTCACGTTTTCACGTTTTGGAAACTTGATTCTGTTATTTTTTACCATTTATGTTATTCATCACGTTTTCACGTTTTCACGTTTTTTTATGTTTTTGAAACGTGATTCCGCTAGCGTGTTAAAAATATAACTAAAAAAAAACAAAACATGATTAATCTACTAAAAGTAGTTTTTCAGCGTTTCACAATTATTCAGCTAAAATATTAATCAGTTCAGTTCATTCCGCTAGTAATTTTTCAGTTATTCCGCTATTATGTTATTCATTTGACATACCAGTCAGACCCTAGGTGTCCAGCACCTGGGTTTGATTAAAATTTTTAAAAAGTATAATATTAGTTTATTTATAGATAAAAAAATTAGATTTTATAATTATTAGAAACCAAAATTAACATATTTAAAAAAAATACAATTTTTATGAATATATTATTTTTTGGTGACAAAGCAAAATATACTATTTATATCTTATTTTTAATATTTTTTTATTATCCGATAAAAAATTTATAAATATGTTTTGTTGTTTTATTGCATTTATCAAACATAATAAATAATTCTCTTCTTTTGATGTAAATTGGTAGATTATGATTAATAAAATTCAAAGTTTACATTAAAAAAAAAACATAGCAATATAAATGACCAAAACCAAAGGATCCTTAAAAGCTAACAGATAAGTACCAATTAGTCATCTGCGGGCCAAACTATTTATAATTAATTACATAAAACTTATAATATTAATAAATAAACCAAATCAAAGTAAGATAAAATAAGTTCTTTCATATTACTTCTTATTCTTTTGTTTGTTTTTGCATCTTATTAGTTTTTTGCAGCTTCTTAAATAAGTTCTTTCTCTATACAAAGAAAAGATATGGATTATTTTTCCTTAGTCATCTAGATTTAAAAAAATAAAAATTAACTAAAAATTAGATTATATTAATTTGTTAATGTCATTAAGGTTAATTAAAGTAAATTCAACACATAAGAGACAAAAAATAATCAACCATCATAACTCTCAACCACAACCCAACTTGCTTCTCAATTAATAATATGATATGCCTTATCTGCGGAAAATTTCTCCTTCACTTCTTAAATTCCAAAATCCAATTCTATTAATTAATTTTAAAGAGTTATTTACATATTAAAACACTTTAATAAGAGTAGTTATACCATCTCTAATAATTTACTTTAATTTTTACTCTAAAAATAGAATTCTTAAAAAAAAATAGACAATAGTTTACTACTATAGTATTTTTTACTTTACAAAAATATATTCTAAATATCTTTTTTTATTTCTATTTAATGTTTTAACTAGATTTTGGACTTGCGCGCCTGCGCAAGTATATGATTTTTGAAAAGTAAATTATATAATTTGCAAAATCTGATATGAAAAATGAGATTAAATTATATTTCTTTAATAATTATATGAGTTATAGATTTATTATATGTGTTATGAGAATCAAAGATAATTTTATAAACACACGGTTTATATTAAAGATATGATATATTACTGATTTTATATAAAACTTATGTTCTTATGTTGTAGTATATTTTTTACAGGTTTGAATATTTAGTTGTAATTTTTTTAACCACACTATTGTTTTTTATTTAGAAATATTTATCTCTTATGATAAAAGCGTATTTAGTTTTTAGTAAGAATATAATTTATCTATTAACTTATGTTTTTCTCAATAAATCTTTGATTTAGTAAATACATAAGTTATTCTCTTTCTTTTCATCATCCTTCTCCTTGTTTTTACTTCTTCTTCTTCTTCGTATAATTTCTTCTTCTCCTTCTTATCGTCCATTGTTGTTCTTCTTTTTCTCTTTCTTCAACTTCTTTTCTTTCGTCTTCTTAATCACTTCTTCTTCTCCTCCATCCCTGTGTGAGGTAGAATTCACACAATATATTTTAGTTCAGAAAAATAAAAGAGGGACTTGAAGATTCTAAGATAAACACAAGAACACAGATCCAAAGATGGTGTTTTTGTTATTGCTATTTTGTTAAGTTTTTGATCAAGTGTTTTTCTAGGTTTTTCAGCTGTCCTTTTTACAATAGATCATGTCTCCTATCTATACATATCTTTCTACAACCTAAATGGGAATCTCGATGAACATAGTCATATATTTTCTTCTATTTCTTTTTTACAAATCTCCTTCTGCAAGACTAAGTCCTTCTAGGGCAAATCCTGCTTTTAGATGTCTTTTTGGGCTTATGACTCAGCTCGTATGTTTATTGATTTATATTGGGCCTCGTTCATCATCACCTAGGCCCATCAGAGGAATGGCTCGGTTTTCACTTGGTTAATTTTGTTGGTTCTGTTTAACCGGCTGATTCGTCTCGTCTCTCCGATTTGGCACATCTCTCTGGTTTGACAAATAAATGGTTTGGCACATCCTTGTCAACCTCGACTCATCGGTTTGGTCTATTTTGTTGGTCCGGTCTACCTATCTGGTTCGGCGAACATGAATGGTTTGATCCGTCTTTATCGACCTGACTTGTTGTATATGCTCAGCAGTTCGCCGGTTCGGCTCGGTGGTTTGCCAATTCGGCTTGTCAGTCTGGTTTATCACCTTTCTGGTTTGGCTAGGCTCATTTCCAAACTTAACCTTTTCTTTATTGTCATGGTGGAAACCGTTCCCAACAATTTTTTTCTTCTCCTTATGTTTCTCCTGCTTCTTCTTCTTCTTCATCTTTTCTTCTTCTCTCCCTTTTGTTTATTTTTATTCTTCTCCTTCTCCTTTTTTATCCTTCGTTTTTCTTCTTCTCAGTATTTCTCCTTCTTCCTTTTTTTAGATTACCATGAGGTTCTGGGCCGAAGCCTGCAATCTCTGCAGTCCTGAAATCACATCATGTAATATTAGTTTCATCACAAACATCATTCGATCATGTGATCTCTAAGCTTTGCCTAGATCTTTTACTAGTCGAGCTAATGACTCTTGGTTACTCCTTAGTCTTCTCCTCCATCCTTTCTTCTTCTTCATCCATTCTTCTAATTCTTCTTCCTTCTCCTTTGTTATTTTTCCTCTCTCTTCTTCTTCTTCTTCTTTTTCTTCTTCTTCTTCTTCTTCATTTATTCTCCTTCTTCTCTGTTCTCATTTTCCGTTTTTTTCATCTTCTCTATTGTTCTTCTTCTTCATCACTTCTCCTTCTTCTCTTTCATTTTTTTTTCTTTTTCACCCCTTCTTATTATCCTTTCTTTTCCTTCTTCTTCTTCATCACCTCTTCTCCTTCTTCTCATGTTCTTCTCTTTTTTTTTTCTCCTTCTTCTTCTCTGTTGTTATTCTTTTTCATCCACTCTTCTTCTCATCCATCTCTTCTCCTTATTCTCCTCATTCTTCTACTCTATCTTATTTGTTCTTCTTTTTTTTTCTTTCTCAAACTGAAAAAATAAATAAAAAGCTAAAAAGATTAAACATAACAACTATATACATAGTAAACAAACTGAAAAAATACATTTAACATATAAGAAATTAATTTCGACTAAAAAGTGTTTATGTTTGCAAAAACATTTCTTTTGGAAAATTTAAATAGAGAAAAATTTTAGCCAAAAAAATAGAAAAAATAGATAACGTGGTTAATATTTTCATTTCCCTCATAATTTGTTGAAATAAAATTATAATAAATAGTTTTTATTTTGTTAATTATGAATTATGAAAATCTTTTATTAATTACTGATTTTTTCTTATTATTAATATGTTGTTACATCTACAATAATAGAATATTAATATTGTTTGGAATGTTTTTGAGAATATTCTAAACCATGTTTTTTAGAATATGCTTTAAATTTATGCAGCTACTGTTTCTTAATTAAAAATATTTTGATTTTTATTCAGAAAGCTTATTCCATAATTTTAGTGATCTGAGTATTAATAAAATATCACAATATTTTGTGCAATTATTTATTTTTAATTAATCATAGTGCTTATAATTTTGATCATGATGTTTTTAAATTTGAATAAATTTAATCAAAAATTAAATTGATATTAGATTGCACTAAACATATAGAAAATAATATATAATTATTCATAAAATGATGTCTTAGTTTATTTTCCTAACATATGTGTGGTTATATTATCGCTTAATAATAAGAATATAATTGTTATTTATATTGTGTAAATGTATATAATTTAATTATATATTTATAGTAATTATAATTGTTATTTTCTTATAAATATATTTGTTTGGCCTATTATATTATCAGAATAATAAATATATGAAAAATATTTTTTGTTGTATTTATTTTGCAAAATGTTTTATATTGTATAAATATTTATGATTTAATCATATATGTATATAGTAATTATAATTATTATTTCGTTTTATATAAATCTGGGTGTAATTAACTCTAAGATTAATTAAAATTTTCGAAATAATTATTTCTTTCTATATTTAAGATTATTTAATGTGTTTGGTAATTGGAGTTAAACTAACCTAAATAATATTTGAAAACTAATGTGTTTGGTAATAGATATAAAAGAATTAAATAAAGAAAAAAGAAAATAAAAATTAATTGGTTGTATTAACAAATGACTAAACTACCATTAATGAATTTCTAGAGAAAACAAAAAAACCAATGGTATTTCATGTAATATAATACATAAAATGTGTTTAAATATTGAATGGCTTCTCAAATAATAGTATGGAGAA